ATATTCTATATTATTCTCTCAATTTTGTTACTATCAAGTATCAAGTGATAACTTTCAAGTTTCAATTTTCAAGTATTTGGGCAAATTTTTTGGAGCAACTTTCAAGCTTCAAATTAATTCGTCAAGTATTTGGAGCAATATTTTGGGCAATTTCTTCAAGTTTCAATATTTAATCACGGTGCACTCGTTCCATCTCCTAATTTTAATATATATTTTTTGCGCATTATTTTAGTGCTTAATTTTTGTGTTTACTTTACGTGTTCTATTTTCGTATTTCATTTGTGTTTTTAATTTTTGTGTTAACTTTTTAAATTTAATTTCGTATTTAAATTATGGCACCTAAAAATATATTTGGCGTATTTAAAAAAACTAGTAAAAAAAGTAGTAAAGGTGAAAGTAGTAGTAATCCTAATCCTAGTCCTAATCCTAGCCCTTCTCCTATAATTAGAAAACATATAGATGAAATGACTCATGTTGATGAAACTTCATTTTTCCAACCCCCCGCATGTTATAATATTAATTTCGGAGAACAACTAGATCATGAAATTTTACAAAGACAATTTGGCAATGATATTTTTATTGAGGATGAAGAAAATGAGGATGAAGAAAATGAGGAAGAAGAATTAGATGAAACACCCACTAGTCCCGCAACACAAGCTCCAACTCAGAGTCAATCTCAGTCTGGAGCTTTACCCCCTGTACCCCCTGTAAGGGGTAAGCCTAAGGCTGAACGTCCCAAAACATCACTTGTATGGAAATTTTTTAAACATGATAAAGTCAATCATCGTGCTATATGTGAAAAATGTAAGCAAGTATTTGCACACACAACAAGTGGTGGGACGGGGGGTTTAAGTAGACACTTAATAAGGGATCACAAATCTTTATGGATACAAGCTAACATAGAAGCCGGAAAAATTATAGATCCTACCATCAGTACTGACACTCCTAGTGGATCTGGTTCTAATCAAATTCAACAACAACTTGACCCTGCTTCTGGTCATGTTTTACGCAAATATAACAAAGATAGAGATCGTGAGAACTTAGCAAAAATGGTGGCTGTCTGTGGCTTACCTTTTACTTTCCCTTCTCACCCTGCTTTTGTGCATTATATACAAGAAACTTATAACCCTGCTTTTCAAGGTTTTCCTAAGACCACGGTTAGAAATGATGTTTTTAAATTTCAAACCGAATATCTTCAGTATATTCGTTGTGTATTTTTTCACTTAGATTGTAAAGTGTCTATCACATCTGATATAGGTCGTAGTCCTAATGGTTGTGATTATTTAACTGTTACATGTCATTGGGTTGATCATCACTGGAACTTGCAAAAACGTATTATTGGTTATAAATTTGTTGATTCAAAACACACTGGAGCATATATTGCAACTACTGCTCTACAAATACTTGATTTTTATAGACTCATTAATAAAGTTTTAACTATCACCTTAGATAATGCTTCTTCTAACACAACCGCAGCAAATAGCTTAAAATCTAGACTTTGTCCAATTAATCCAACAATTTTTCATGTTAGATGTGCATGTCATATTTTTAACTTGGTTGTAAAAAATGGTCTTAATTTATTTTCTGATGCTTGTAGTAAAATACAACATGCTTGTGGCTATATTTTTCGTGCTCATAAACAAAGTAGAATTCGTGAATTTGCTCAACAATGTNATAAATTTATAATTACTAGAATATTTCATTACAAGTCTTTTGTTCTAATATTTTATAATTCTTTACTTAGTTTTCTAATTTTCATTTTAACATAGTAACATTTAAGTTTACTAAATAAGTCAAAAATCTAGCCATTGCAAACTTTAAAAACATAGTAAATTTCAAAAACTAGACGTTTTTTTTATAAAAAAATACACTTAAGGCCCACGAACCCGTCCTGTTCCGTCCCGTCCCATCCCGTTTGTTAGCAGGACGGGATGGGACGAACATTTCGTCCCGTTTGTCCCGTCCCGTTTCGTCCCGTCCCGCCTCCATCCCGCTTAAATGTCGTCCCGTCCCATCCCGTTGGACAGCCATAGGGTAGGTATCCCATACCCTGACCTTATACATCCTACTGTTACATATATAATTTTCCAGTATCAACTCCATCATTTCAACCAAAGCAAAAAGTAGTTAGACTAGGAAAGCATTTAACCAAAATCTGGTCCTACTTTAGGCAGCTTGAAGGTTCAGGCATGAACAAAGATTTTGCAAGGCTTCACATTAAGAGTGTAATAGAAGGTCAACTGAACTAAGAGCAGGAAGAAAGCACACCTTACGATGTAAGGCCTCACGGGCACCACCAGGATACAGCAGCACATGCGATTTTGTTGAAAGCAACTTAAAGAAGTTGCTAGCTGAGACAGGCGATGCCCCGTATAGTCTCAGCAAATCTAAGAACGAGACTTCATTTGTCTGATTCTCAGTCAGCTGCGAAAATAATGTTGGATGTGCTATACCACGAACTAAAATTTTTCTCTCCCTCAAAAATTCTTCAACAAGAGGGACAAGTTCTACACCCATAAGCATGTGATAACCCACCAATATCGTGGGACCTTCATCTGGGATCCCTGCTAGCCCTCTCACTATTTTTCCATCTTCCATTGTGGACAACATAACTGGACTAGTAAAGTTGAGATACCATCTGCAAATACACATTACTTAATATTAGCCTCAACATGCTGAATATCAGTATCTGCAAATACATTATACATAATATTAGCCTCAATTTATGCATTTAAACCATAGGGTGATAGCTCTAGAAGTACTGACGGGGCATAAGATTCATTTTTAGTGTTAAAAGAGAAGAAAGACAAATGCATCAGGATATAAATAGAGAATCAATAAAATCTTAGGAGACCATCTAAATGAGATTCAGTTCAATCTTCTGTCCTCACATTTAAGTAAAATAAAGGAGCATGAGATGCATTGACTGTGATAAATTAGAAGTTAGGATTTGTTCATAACAATAAGTTAAGAATCGTTTTTCCATTTGATTTCAAATAAGGAGCATGAGATGCATTGACTGTGATAAATTAGAAGTTAGGATTTGTTCATAACAATAAGTTAAGAATCGTTTTTCCATTTGATTTCAAATAAGGAGCATGAGATGCAGTATGACGATGACAGTGAAAAATTAGAAGTTAGGAATTGTTCATAAAGGGCCCTCGTTGAAACAAAGCCAAGAGTCCAACAGGTAAACAAACTAAACTTCACAAGTCATCAGGTAAAAACTATACATGCTTCAAGGGATTCTAAGTTTGAGCTAAAGTAAAAATCTATTGAATCCTTTTAATTCTAGATTGCTCTTAGAGCATATCTTCGTGCATGTATGAAACATTCCCATCAACGTACGTACGTACATACATACACACACACATATATATATACACACACATATATCATACAAAAGAAACTTGATGCATTTGTTTTTTTTTTCAACAGTTGTGTCTTATGCCAAGTGGATAAAGTATACGTGTTCAGCAACTGTAGGTATGAATAGGAAGAGAATATTTTTTCTTAGAGAATGCTCAAGTTCTATCAGGCTACTTAAGGCCACTTGATATGATTACAACCACCAAATACATCCCTATTTATACTATTCAAAAAACAATTCAAGAATCTTGCATAACTAAACAAGATACATGTATCACAACTTCCTAAAAGACTTCTCGAAAAACTAATAGATAATGTCGAAGAACTAAATAATACTCTTGAAAGAATAAGAGACTCCTAGAAAACATAAAAGTCAAGGTCAAGGATAATATCCAAGAAATGCATTAATTCCAACACTTCCCCTTGATGCATTTGTTTTGACAACTCCAAGCTTTTATCTAAGGTAGCAAAACGTTTCTCTAGGAAGTGCTTTGGTGAAGATGTCAACAAGTTATTCTTCTGTCTTGTAATAATGCAACTGAATTTCACCTTTTTCTTGTGCTTGTCGCATAAAATGATACTTGATGGAAATATGGTTGGATCTTTCATGGTTGACCGGGTTCTTAACAATGGCAATGGCTGATTTGGTATCGCAAAATTTAGCAGTCCCTCCTTTTTGTTTTTCACCAATATCTTCAAGAATTCTTCTATGCCAAATAGCTTGAGAAGTAGCCATAGCTGCTGAGATGAATTATGCTTAGTGGATTGAGCAACAATACTTTGCTTCTTTGACAACAAAAAATAAATGCTTGAACCAAATAAGAAAGCATAACCAAAAGTACTCTTTATGTCATCTACACTTCCGGCCAGTCACTTTCAGAGTAGTCAATTAATTCCAAAGCTCCATCAAATTTGTACATTATCCCATAATCTGTTGTTCCTTGCAAGTAGCGTAAAACTCGCTTTGCACCTCCAAAATGCACTTGGCTTGGTTCTTGCATGAATCCGGACAAGCAGCAAACATAATGTCAGGTCTTGTTGAAGTAAGATATAGCAGGTTTCCAATCAAGCTCCTATAGAGTGAGCTATTAGCTTTCATTGCTCCGTCATCTTTTCATTTGGTGCTAATGGTGAGGCCAAAGACCTGCAATCCATCATTTTAAATTTTTGAAGAATAATTTTAGCATACTTCTTCTGAGAAATAAACATCCCTTCTATTACATGAAAAACTTCAATTCGCAAGATATAATGTAGCAACCCAAGATCGCTCATTTTATAGGTCTCCATCATATCTTGATTGAATTTCGGCATCATCTTCCCTAGATCTTTGATTTCTCTTATTGAAGAGGCAATCTCAATTCCCAAGAAGTACTGCAACTTCCCTAGATCTTTGATTTCAAATTCCTGTGCCAACCGCTTCTTCAATCGGGTCATCTCCTCTTTATCATCTCCTGTCATTACTATGTCATCAATATAAACTATGAGAAGAGTGAGTTTACCCTTTTGATGTCTTATGAAGAGGGTGTGATCAGCATTACTTTGTTGGTAGCCGAAGGAGATCAATGCTTTGTAGAATCTGTCAAACCAAGCTCTAGGAGATTGCTTCAGTCCATACAAGGCTTTCTTCAATCAGCACACTTTTCTTTGACTTTGTTCGATATCAAATCTAGGCGGGATCTCCATATACACCTCTTCTTCTAAGTCTCCATGAAGAAATGCGTTCTTCACATCAAACTATTGTAAGTCCCAATCAAGATTAGCTGCACAAGACAAAATGATTCTGATAGTGTTCATTTTGGCAACAGGGGCCAAATGTCTCTTGATAATCTACTCCATAAGTCTGAGTGAATCCCTTAGCCACCAATTTTGCTTTGAATCTTTCAATTGAGCCATCAGCTTTGTGCTTCACAGTGAAGACCCATTTGCAGCAAACAAACTTTTTGTCTGGTGGTGAAGTGACAAGTTCCCAAGTTTTATTTTTTGATAAGGCGTTCATTTCTTCAATCATAGCTTGCTTCCATTTAGGATCTACAAAAGTTTTCCGCTAATTCTGGGGAATAAGACATAGAAGAAATGGACAAGGCAAATGCTCTATAGGAGGGGGACAAAGAATTATAGGAGACAAAATTAGATAAAGAATGTTTGGTGGTGCAAGATCTGACCCCTTTTTTGTGAGCAATAGGTACATCTAAGTCATTAGGAAATGTAGGTAACTCACCAGTTGAAGAAGGTTCAGCTTCGGCAGATTGGATGATGACTTCTTCTGCTCTATTTCTCCTTGAGTAAGTTTTTGAGTAAGTTTTCAAATCAGGTCTATCCAAACGCCCAATAGTCTCCCCCTATATTCTGTCTTCAATTTTACTTTCCCCTGTGGTACTGGCAGTGGTTTCAACAGTAGAACTCGCGAGAATCATCTCTTCCCTTTTATAGTTCTCCCCTGAAGAGGTGATGATGTAATACTGAAATAGGGTTCAGATTCTCGAAAGGTAACATCCATGCTGACAAAGATTCTCCGAGAGGGAGGATGATAGCATTTGTAACCTTTCTGTGTTGAAGAATACCCAATAAAGACACACTTAAGGGCTCTAGGATCAAGTTTCCTAGAGTTCCTAGTGTGAACAAAGTAGACACACCCAAATACCTTCGAAGGAACAATATAATCATTCTTACCCTTTAATACTTCCTGAGGAGTTTGAAAATTGAGGGTTTTTAGTGGCATTCTATTGATGAGATAGGTAGCTACTAAAATGGCATCCCCCAGTAAGGTTTTGGTAGATTCGTGGTAAACATAAGAGATCTTACTACTTCTAACAAATGCCTATTTTCCTTTCTGTAACCCCATTTTGTGCACTAGTATAAGGACAACTACTTTGATTGATTATCCCATAAGACTCCAAATAAGCACCAAAATTTTATCCATGTATTCTGTGCCATTATCCGTACGCAAGATTTTTATCTTAGCCTGAAACTGAGTGCAAATCATCTTATGAAATGACTGAAAGCAGGAGAAAACTTCATTTTTGGCCTTTAACAAATACACCCAAGTAATTCTAGCGCAACAATCAATAAAAGTAACAAACCACCTACTACCAGATAAAGAAACTGTTTGAATAGGACCCCACACATCAAAATGAATAGTCGAAAAAGGAGTTGTACTTTTATTATCACTCAAAGGATAAGAGTTTATAGTATGCTTGGCAAATTCACAAGCATCACAAAACAAAGATTCAAACTCAGTTCTAGAAAACAAACTAGGATATAACTTCTTTAAAGCAAAAAATGATGGGTGCCCCAACCATCTATGCCATTGTATTATTTCTTGGTTGACATCCTTATTTCCTCCAAAAAAGGCCTGACTAGAGTCTTGAGTTCCATCAATCCAATATAAGTCATCATGCAATCTACCACTGCCAATCCTCTTCCTTGTTTGAAGATCCTTAAAAAAACAATGATCAGGAAAGAACTCGACATTACAGTTTAGTTTTTTTGGTGATGGCGCTAATAGATAACAGGTTAACAGGAAACTCAGGGACATGGAAAACAGATGATAATGTAATATCAGGTGTACAAACAACAGAACGTGTTCCAGAGATAGGAGTTAGGGAGCCATTGGCTATTCTGACATAATCCCCTTTGAAACTGGGAGAGTAGTTTTTAAAGCCCTTAGAGGAGCCTGTCATGTGTCTATTCGCACCAAAATCAATAATCCAAGAATTAAGGTGAGCATGAAAAGCAATACCTGACTGCACGTAATTAGAAGTGGCAACATTAGAAGAGTCAAGTTTATTCAAGAGACGGTAAAGATGTTGAATTTCATCCGAAAACAAAGCTTCTCCAGAAGCAGTTTCCCTGGATGTCTCCACAATTTCTGCAATATTAGCCTGAACCCTTGATGGACCTACACGTTTTCCTCCACGACCTCTAGTTGGTCTACCATGTAGTTTCCAGCATGTCTCCTTCGTATGCCTTGGCTTTCCACAGTAATCACAGTGCAGGTGATCTTTATCAGAAGTGAACGCCTTTGGTTGTTCATGAGACACAGCTAACCCGGACTTCTCCATTGGTGCGGAATCAAGCATGACCCCTCGTCGACTCTCTTCCTGTTGAACATAAGAGTATGTATTCTCAAAAGAAGGAAAAGGAACTTTATAGCCAGAAAATAATACATCCTATCCTTTTCAACCCATCGTTGAAAGAGAACTGCATCATCAGTACATTTTGCTTGGAGATCCTCATAGTAGTCAATCTCCTGCCATAATCCGCTTAACTCGGAATAATAATTAGTGATAGTCAACTCACCTTGCTTAGTCGCATGAATTTTATTTCGAATTTCAAAAATCTGGGCATCATTTCCCTTGCGAGAATAAGTGCGCTGGGCTGAATTCCAGATTTTTCAGCAGTGACAAGCAACAAATATTGTTTAGAAATTCGAGTGTGCATAGTACTCAAAACCCAAGTCATGACAAGGGAATTATCACAATCCCATTGGTTGTAAGTAGCATCAGTCATAACAGGTTGTTTCTTTTCTCCAGTAATATAACCAATCATCTTCCTGGATTTAGTAAACAACAAACAAGCCCTTGACCAGGTAAGATACGAACCAGCACCATCCAATTTTACCATACTAATACCATGTGAAACAGAGTTATTGTTTACAAAATTATTGTTATCTACTGTTTTTGAGTCCCTTATATTTTTGAACAATCTGAAGCACAAAAAGAAATTTCAAAATATAAATTCTAAACAGAAGAACCTGGTAACCCAAAAACAGCCTTCAGAATCTGAAAGAAGGCTTCTGGAGCTTACTGGTTACGCCGGACTTATCTTCTGGTGTTCGGAAAAATCTGAAACTTCTTTCGGTAGGTCGTACAGTAGGTATAATCCTTCCAGTGAAACCAATTTTTGTACAGAACTGGCGGAGGTTAAAAAAAAAGGCTTCAGACAGAAACTTTAGCAAGAAAACTATAAGAAAGAGGGAGAAAACTCAACCTATGGAACCCTAGCGCTGCAGAGCGAGAAAACTCACATCAAAAGGGCAGCAATGGCTTCTGATACCACGATGAGTATGGGCCTAACTCAACCCCAAAAGCTAGGGGTGTGCATTCGATTTATCGATTCGATTTTGACTCTTATCGATAATTACTTTATCGATTATCGATTTGTACATATGCTTATCGTTATCGTTTCAATAAGGTTTCGATTTTTTCGATTTTTGGGGCTTATCGATTCGGTTATCGATTACACCAATAAGAAAATCTGCGGGATTCCACAGAAAGTATATCGCTATAAACACGCCTAACTAATATGGACAAAAAGAAGCTAAAATAAGACGAACACCGTTTATAACATAAAAATTGTGTCAACAAGCACATGCAACGAAACTAAAGTAAGGGATCAAATGTATGCCGCCAACACTCCAATGGTATAAAAAAATACATCATCACAGCTAATTTTGTTTTCTATTAATTTGAACTTCATTCCCTTGAGCTTTAAATATGATCATTCCTTAAATGTGGTAGAGGAAATAATAGGGTTAGAGACTTAGGGTAAAGGGAAGGGTATTATAGAATAAGGGTAAAAAAAATGTCTTTTTAGTATATCTTATCAGTTTATCGATAAACCGATAACCGAAAAGGGCAAAATCGAAATCGATAACTTGATAAGGAAAATTTCGAAATCGAAATCGATAAACCGATAACAAATAATCGATTCGATTTATCGATAAACCGATTCGAATACACACTCCTACCAAAAGCTAGCATATGAGGTGAGGATTGTCCCAGCAATATAAGGAGACCAAAGACCTCAAATACCTCCGATGTGGGACAACTCAACACCCCCCTCACGCCCAGGCCTCTAGAACGTGGACAACATAAATGGGGGCCCAACATCGGTAACAATAACTAGGATGGGCCTGGCTCTGATACCATAATGAAATTGAGAAGAAGAGAAAGCTTCTTTGTATTTCAATGTACTTTACATCCTACGGATACATGCCTTTACACAAAAGTTCTACAACTATTCTAGGAAAGCAAATAAATGAAAATAATGAGAGAATATTCAGCTACAATACAATTTTCCTACAATCAAGCTATCCTACAATCAAGCTATTAATTTGATTCTCTGATTTTTCTCCTATAATTAAGTTGGTCAACAATTCTTCAGGACAACTTACTCGTCCAGTGATTCTGAGCCTACCAATATAAATTACATCAAATTCTGACAATTTTTATTTTTTCTGGTGTGAACAGTGATTTCCGGCGGAACAGTGATTTCCAGAAAAGTTTTTGTTTCTTGGTGGTGTTTTAGAACTATTCTGTAGTGTGGAATGCTTACAAATTTTTCCGGCGACTTTTCGGCCAACTTCTATTTGTCAGCAACCACCTGGTTTTGGTGCTCAAGGGAGTCTAGTTGCCTTGTATGTCGAATGATCAGCTTGCAGATATTTTCACCAAGTCTCACACTGGTCCTCGTATTAGTTACATATGTAACAAGCTCGGTACATATGATTTGTATGCACCGGCTTGAAGGGGAGTGTTAGATAGTTATGTGTAAATAGTCTTAGTCCCATATTTAATAGGAGTAGAATATGTCCTAGTCTCATATGTAGTAAGAGTAGAATATATATTATATATAGGGCTCGTTGTATCATTGTTAATAATAGATTTTTCTCTCATGCATTCTCACAGTCTATGGGATCACATGGATGCTTGTCCTCATTTGATTCTTGTATTAGGAATCACAATAGGTGTACTAGTAATTGTTTGGATAAAAAGAGAAATATCAGCAATACAATTGAATATGCTGGCCCTTTAGGAATTATTGAAGCTCTAGCAGATGGACAAAACTACTTTTGAAAGAGAACCTTATTCCATATACAAGAGATACTTGTTTATTCAATATCGGACCATCAATATCTATATTTCTAAGTTATTTAGTAATTCCGTTTGGTGAAGATAATGAGAATAAGAAATTAGACCAAAAAGGAAAACAATAATAAATAAAGAAGAATAAAAGGGGAAGAGAAAAGGGTAATTGTATACTCAAATATTTCCTGCAATCAAGTGCTTGCATGCATCCATTCGTTACTAAGAGGATAATACTTAGTGCTATACTCAATTACCTATTGTTGTCGATTGCCTTCTTGAACTCTGACATACTTGGAGGAAGAAAATCCATGACACAATCATGCCTCCTTGAATGACGATATTTGCCAGTACCTTTGATGATGGATAGTAGATTAATACCATCTTCCTGCATGATTAAATTAGATGTTAATGAAAGGTTAAAAAATTTCCACAAGAAAATCGACCAAATCCTAGAAAGGTCTAATCTCTATATAACCCGCCTTTTATAAGGATCTCTCGAGCAGTTATTTTAACAAGTTTTGTATGCTGATATAATGATTGGAAAAAGATAGTTTCATCGACACGTAGCAAGAACTATAGCCTGCTTTTGCCATCCACCAAAGTAATGCATCCAAATTATCCCTTATATTCAAAAGGAGAAAGAGTGGCTTCCAACTTAGTTTATTTGACACCATGTGAAACAGTGTGTTTTTCCTTTTAATAATTAAGAACAAATTATTTATCAAAGCAGCACTAAGATAGTGTTGTGAGATACAACTTAAAAAAAGTTAGTTCCTATCTAGTCTAGTCTGTGAGGTAACTCAGAAATAATAATGAATTGCTCATGCAGTTAAGCTTTGTGTTTAACACAAAACGCCACTGTTATATTTCAGCCTGTGGATTTTTTTTTGATGAAGTAAATAAATTGTATTAGAAAAGGCATCAAGAAGATGCAGAATTACAAAAGGTATTAAATGCCAACTCCAGACAAATCCTACAAGGAGCTAACAAATAAAAAATAAATGTAAAAAGCAAAAAATCTAGCTCCAAACCACATCTATGGTAGTGTTAGATAGTTATGTTTAAATAATTCTAGACCCATATGTAGTAGGAGTAGAATATGTCCTAATCTCATATGTAGTAGGAGTAAAATATGAACTATATATAGGACCCATTATGTCATTGTTAATAAATAGATTTTTCTCCCGTGCATTCTCACATGGTATCAGAGCTTCAGTGAGAAAATTATCATTGTGTCATTCTAGTGTTCAATTCCGTGGCTGGAAGGATTTCTTTCTTCCATCTGTCATTCCCTTCTCTCGATATGGTAAAGGGAGGATATTAGGGGAAGCAATGACATCCGAGAAGAAATATCTCGTCGCCGTGCAATTTTCCGGCAACTTCGTCTTGTTCCCACTTCCCAGGGTTCATCATTGGCACTGTGCATATACCAGTACCACCATCAGACCCGAAACTAATGGTGCACTGTGGGCCGGGCCTGAACCGGACCGGGCCCGCGGTCCTAACGGGCCTAACGGGCCTGGTGGGCCGGTCTTAACGGTTCTTTAAAGCCCGTGGCGGGCCGGTTCTTCCTAGAAAGCACANGTCAATTTTGCCATAATGTTGCACCAGGTCAAAATTTAGATGATAAAACTATGAATGCTCTATATCCTAATGAAACTATCTTTGAAAATGATGAGGAAAATGAGGATGAAGATGAAACCCAACCG